TTGCGTAGCTGCAAAAAACGCATGAAAAGCGCTGCTACGGCCAGCGAAAACGCATATTGTTGAGATGTCGTCTGTGTGTGTTTGTGTGCGCGTGTGTTCGGAAGCGAATGTATGGGTTCCTGAGAAAAATATGCATATTTCCTTGGCGAGGAACGATTTCGCGAACCGTGCAAGGTACAGGGCTGAAACTTTGTGGGGATATTGTCTGTGGATGTGCGAGCTGAAGTTTTCCAGTTTAATTGTCGTGCATGCTTACGCAGCGCGTGCGAGGGCGACAAAGTTTGCAAATTGATACTGTACTAACCCGAAAACTTGCTAAAAGCGATGTCTGAAATTTTGCCATCACGTTTGCCGCCCAGTATACCTAAGAACAGTATACCTAAGAAGAGTACCGATCCGAACTTGTACAGTGACTTATGACACTTCTAATATATTTGAAGTGGTTGTTTCGTTTACTGGACGAGGCACGAAGGTAAAGCATCACTAGGATATTTTACTTTCAAGTGCGGTCTTAATTCTGTTTGGAAATGAAATTCCCTGCAGGTGGCCACGAGGAACACTCAACCTTATTGAAAAACCCAGGCTGGAACGCACCAGGCAAGCCAGTGCGATCACGCGTTTTTGCACCAAACTTGAATTAGGTCATCTGCATGAACGGTTATTTCTTCACACCTACTTTGTGCGCCCAATACCGTAAATCATCGTAAATTTTGCATAAAGGGAAATAAACATTTTCCTTTTAGCGGTCGTTTTTACTACACGTTTTGTGCTGTGTAACAGCAGTACAAAACGCATATTACCACTGATTTGTCTGTCTGTGTGTGTGTGTGTGTGTGTGTGTGTGTGTGTGTGTGTGTGTCCGAGTGCGTTATGTCCCGCACTTTCAGCCCGGGAACTAGAAAGTTGGGACATTGAAATTTTGCAAGAATTTTCCCTGCTCACTTGTCACCCCGTAAAAATAAGTTCGGCCTTCAGTTACCCGCGGGTGCCACTTATAGACCCGCCAAAGTGTTGGTGGGGGAAATAATTTTCTTAGGAACCACGAAAGCTGTAGCACTGAAATTTTGCTAGAACGTCCCCCGCCTACATTTGACCCAGCAAACTTAAATTTGATCCTCAGTCAACCGTGAGTACCACGTATGACCCCGCGAAATTTTTGGCCAGAAAAATTACTCTCTAGG